TATTATCAAAAAAGGACCTGTAATAAGCCCTCACGAGCCAAACAGCACCGTGCTGTGTAATTTTTGTGTGCACTCGCTTTTCAAACTCACCATCACTTCAGACCACTGTGTCTCGTTCAGCCATGATGTTGGCTTGTACTTTTTTTTGGAATTTTTTATATATATATATATATATATTTTTTTAATAGTATCACTTTTTGACTTTTGTAATAATTTTTTGATTTTTTAACTTTTTTTTAAACATTCCAAACGAACCTTAAATGTGTATCCTAAATTAACTAAGGGTGTGAAAATAGAATTTTTCCATTGTTATGGGTAAAATTATGAGTCCTTTTGAGAGTCCAAACCTTTTCCATAAATATTACTATTTTACATCACTGCAGTGGGTCAAAAGGACAGTAATGTCCCCAAAGTCCTGAATTTGGATCCTCGGCCGCCCTTTTGGGCGGCAGTTCCCAACAGCCCCCCCAAAACGATGTCGTTTTGGGGGGTTTTTCGTTTTTTTTTTTTTTTTCGCAGAACCAGAGCAGAGGGGAGCAGAGGGGAGGGGAGGGGAGCTCGCCGAATTTTGGGGTCCGAATTCGCCGTCGCAGGTCGTCGAGCTCGCCAGCCGTCCGATCGTCGCCCGATCTGCCGTCGCCTCCGCGTCCGGCCCGCCTCCGCCTCCTCCTCCTCCTCCCCCGGTGATTTAGGCCCCCTCCAGTCCGGTGCTCCCTCTTCTTCTCCCTTCATCTCTCTCTCCTTCCCCTCCCCTCCCTCTCTCTCTCTCCCTCCCCCCCCCTCCCTCTGGTTCTGTTTTGCAACGAAGAAGAAGAAGAAAGAAAAAAAAAAAAATCAAAAAAACTCCCAAAACGACGTCGTTTTGGGGGGCTGATGGAACGGCCGCCGGAAAGGGCGGCCGAGAATCCGGACTCCAAAGTCCTTCCCTCAAGAGCAAGAAATTTCCCGCACTTCGTCCACTCAACCCAAGACGGATAGATACATGAGAAATTTTATGGTAAACGCATCTTTAATTGCCACTTTTATAATTTTTTTATTATAACTTATTATAATATTAATTATAATTTATTATGATATTAATTAATTATACTATTATTTTAATTATAATTTAAGAATTTTTAATTAAATTTTATGTAATATTTGATTATAAATTATTATTTTTATTATGACTCACCTAAGGCGCTGTTTGGGAACTCGATTTTTTGATTTTTTTTTCACTAAAAGATAAATTGGTTATAAAACCAAAAAAAATAAATCCAAACAAAATATCACATCAAACCCCATAATCATTTCATTTTTTCTCTCACAAACATCACATCCAACTACAAAAAAATTAAACTATCTTCCCAAATACAAAGGGCTTGTTTGGTTTGTTTTTGAGAGAGTAGTTTTTGAAAATTGTTTTGGGAGAGAGAGTTTAGAAATTTTTTTGATTTGTTTGGTTGTGTATTTTGAAAGTAATTTTGAAGTTTGGGAGTTTGTAATGATTTGATATTTTGTTATAATTGAGTAGATGTGTGTGAGAGAAAAAGTGATTGAAAAGGAGAGAGGAGAGAGAGAAAAAGTGATTGATTGATAGGTAAGAGAGAGAAAGTGATTTTGAAAATTGTTTTGATAAATTTACAAATCAAACAAATTTTCTAAATTTTTTTTTTTCCAAAATCACTCTTGAAATTCAAATCAAACATACAAATTTTTTCTCCAATAAAGTCTTACAATTAAAAAAACCTACAAAAAAAGTTACTTCCAAAACACTAACTATGTTAACTTAGGCCTCGTTTGACTAAAATTTTGGGATTGAAAAAGTATGAAAAGACAAAATAGACTTATATGAATAGGTTATATAAGCTAATAAGATAAAATATTACTTTTAATTCATAGTTATTATATTTTTTTTCTCACAAAAGTTAAAAAAATAAAACTAAACAAGACTAAAAAAGACAAGTTAAAAAAATCTTAACATAAAAAAATTAATTAAAAAAGCAAATGCAAACGATCTCTTATTATATAAAAATGTGTATCATAGACTTTGGATTTGGTTTAATGGTCTTATGACCGCACTTGGTTTGTAATGGTCCTATGACCGCACTTGAAGGTATGATGAAAGAACGTCACAAGTTTGAACAGATGAAGGAACAGTGATCCATTTAATTGTAATATAACCAAGGTTTGGAAAAGTAGTTGCGGATTGTAATAATGACGGTGACGTAATTACGGTTACGGGGTGTAAAGGCCGTAGTGCAAGGGTTACGGTAATTGGAACCGTAAATTTTTTTATTTTTCGCACAATTTACCGATACGCATATTTTTTTTCCATAATCATATTTATTGGGTTAAAAATAAATATTTATCAATTTTTATAAATTTTTAAGTATGATCCAATATATTTCATATTTTTAAATCATTATAAACTGAGTTTTTTACATTTTATTTTAATAATTAATAACTTTATATTATACAAAAAATCAATCACTAACTATTATATATAAAACAAACAATGACAAAAGTAAGAGAATAAATAAGAGCCTAAATATATATATATATATATATACATACATATTTTAACCAAGCTAAATAGATAATGACCACACTTATTATTATTATTATTATTATTATTATTATTATTATTATTATCAAACAATATATACATAGACATACACAAACAAAATGGCTTAGTGATAACAACTGAATAGAATAGCATAGGTCTTACAGATTCAACAAATCAATAACATGTTCTTCATATTTCCTCTCCTCTCTCTATCTCTTGTTCCTTCACTTTCTCTCTTTATCTTCCCTCTTCTCTCTATCCCTTTTCCCCTATTTTCAGTTTTTTTTTTGTGTGTTTTTTTCGAAAGAAATAGTTTGAAACCGTTACGTAACGGTGCGTAACAGGCCGTTATGGCACCGTTATGACCGCTATGGCAGCCGCTACAGTCGACACACTTGTGAATCTCAATCACACTACAAAAGCGGCCGTAACAGGTGGTGGTAACCGTCAAAACTGTTACGTAACGGCGTTACATAACGGTTGCCGCCGCTTTTTAAAACCTTGAATATAACTTATTAAGAAACTCAGGCCTCGTTTAGCAACAGGTCGGTTTAGTCAAAAAAGTTACTAAAAAAATCAAGAAGCCAACAACTCATAGCAAAAAGTCAAAAATTTTTTTTTCTCTTTACTTTTTGCATATCTTTTCGTAAAAAGTCAAAAAGTCATCTCAAACATATTAATTTTTTTTAACTCATATTTTAACCAAATAGTCAAAAAGTTACTAATTAGCCTGTTCCCAAACGAGGCCTCACATACAAAAAAAAAAAAAAAAAATGGTAGTAGAAACGCCATTTCAAATGGCGTAAAAAAAAAAAAAAAAAAAAAATGAAAAAAAGATATGCATGATAGTATTACTCTACTACGGTTATGGTTGGCATATGAGGTTTGGGCTATTTTAGTTATTAAAAGATAAAATATATTAAAAAATTAATTAGATAAAATGTCACATCTAAATTATAATCATTTTATTTTTTCTCTTACAAAAATAAAAAAAGGCCAAAAAGTTTATTCTAAACAAGACTTTTTAGGCGAGACTAAAAAAATCAAAAAGCCAACTTACTTCCCAAATGAAGGCTACATATAATTAGAATTATGCAAAATATTGTCCAATCTGTTAAAATCGCATTGACCTGCATCAATTTACACTCTCTATTCACTAATCGTGATTTAAACTTTAAAATTTATAATTCGCTTTCGAAATCTTTCCGTTCCGATATAGTTAATATATATATATATATTAATTTATAATGAAATATCAAAATAAAAATGAGTGTAGTATGTGAAGTTTATTACGAATTAGTAGTTATACATATAAAAAATATTATGTAAATAAGTATTATATATTATGTAAAAGTTTGATAACTGGTTAGAATATTTTTCAAAACATCTAAAATTACTCAAATCGTAATTTATCCATTCGCTATTCAATTTTAGAAACTCAGTTAAAAGCGAATTTGATTTTTAATTTATTTTAAGTCACATAACCTCTTTATATTTTTTACACATTTTACAAAAAATAAAATAAAATAAAAAAATCAACCTTCAATCAATTTTATAAAATTACCAATAATTTTGCTCGTAAATCACCTCAATCACACTGTGGACACATATATACTATACCAGATGTATATCATAGGCTGTAGCTTCCTTTCAATCCGTGATTGAATTAGAAGGTACTGTTAAGTTGGATTGAAATAGAAGGTACTGTTAAGTTCATAGAGACTTATTTCTTTTTGATAATTTGAATCGTACAATGTGTAGAACTCGTTGAGTACTATAAGTTTGTAAAAAATCACATTGATTGGATATCGATAGTTATGTGATCAAATCAGTTTTGAATAAAAAAATAGACGGTAAAAAAATAAACGGTTAATAGAAATCTGATCTGAAAAGATAGCTATCGATATCCGATCAACGTAAATTTTTACAAACATATAGTACTAAATAAATTTTATATATTGAACAATTCAATTTATTAAAACAAAACGTTTGATGTACCCTCACAAATTCAACAATATTCTTCAATCTGATCAGGGACAATCTGATCAGGGACGGAGGAAAACCAGTCCTATATCATATACACTTGCAGAAGGGCATACACCCAAACAGTAACAATATATATTGACAGTTATGGAAATTGATGGTGTCACCCTCACCCATTTGCGTGTTTTTGAAAACGACTCTCTCCTCTTCTCCTCATCTCACCTCCCCAGTGTCAACAAGCGTTGTTTACAGCTGTATCCAATTTCCCACAACCGCCTCTCTCTCTTTCTATATACATACAAACATACAGACAAATATATATATACACACTACCAAGACCCCTAATTTATTATTGTTGTCTTTTTTTTTAATTCACAAAATTAATTAGTATCTCATTTTTGGGGTCCCCCATCCTCGTCGTTTTCTCTCTCTATATACGCACACACATATATCTCTCTTTTTTGGGTTGCTGTTTGTTTATTTATATTCCTTCACTTTCTCCGTCTATTTCGTTTCTCTTCTCAAATAATGCGAAGCATTGTCCTCTCAGCTTCAAACTTCATCTCTCTCTCTCTCTCTCTCTTTCTCTCCCTATGTGAATACACTTGAGTTTTAGATATGGGTTTCTCGTGATCTGTGTTGCAGTCTAGGACCCATCTTCGATCATTGCCATCATTATTAGATCTAGAGAGAGAAAGAGAGAGGGTTTTAGAGAGAAAGGGTAATAGAGAATTGTCATTGGTGTTTGGATGGGGAGTTAGTATGTGTGTGTGAGTTTAATGTCAAATGTTGTTTAGAATTGGAAAATGAAGAATTTCACGGGTTTTTTGCAAGGGCTGGTGTTTGTTTCAGCTTCAAAAGTGCCTTTTTGGGTGATTTGAAGATAGAGAAAGCTTCATAGTCAAGGTAGGGTTTTTTATTTTTATTTTTATTTTTTCCTTTTAATGTCTAATTTACGTGCTTTTCATGTTGTTTTTGAGTGTATTAGTGGCTTTGTTTGCTTCGTCTGTTTATTTTTGGCCATGTTTGTGCATAAATAACATAGTTAGTTGGTGGTTTAACTACAGGTTTTATAGTTGGCAAAATTGATGTTCACATTTTACACGGGTTCTCTGTTTTAAGTCCATTAATGACTTCAAATTGTAGTTTTAAGATCAATTGAAATTTAAATCATAAAGTAGAAAGTGTTACCAATCGACAGAGAAGCCTAATTTTGGATCATTGACTTCAGTTTGTTGCAGAATTGATAAATTAAAATGTGAATTTTTTTATTTTTATTTTTTATTTTTTCATGTTGCAAAGATACCTACTTTGGGAAGACTGTGATTAAGGAATTTATTCCCCGTATGAGAATTTTTTATTTTAGTTGGGTTTTTTTTTTTTTTTTTTTTTGACTTTTTGACTTTTTACGAAAAGGAATGATATAACAATGATTTTTTTTTTTGGTTACAAACCTCTCTTCCCAATCTTAGTGTGCCAAACATCTATCAAAAAGTAATTTACAGTGAAAAAAGTGCAAGTTGCATATTGTTCCTTAAGTTCAATTGTGACACCCATGAGAGATATTTTACCCAAACTGGAAACAATCTCATTTTGGAATGTAAAACACATGAGCAAAGTCACACTTCTTGTTACTGACCCTGTTTTTGTTTGCTGAGACAAAATACCTAATTACCTACTCTTTTGTCCAATATAAATAGTTTTGTCTCCATTTGATGCTTGCAATGAATGAGAGAAGGGGAGGGAAAGAATATGCTTAACTGTCCTTCTTACTCATTTTCTAGCATTTTCTTTTATTTTCTTGCAATTTTTTAGGAGCCAAAAACAGAGCCAGAAATAAAAGGAGTATTTCTTTCTTATCTTCTTTGAGGGGAAAAAGGTGGAAAACATAGATCCAAGTCAGTCATTGAGATGTTTGCGAACTTATAAATCAGAACCGAAGTTGATGTTGAGTAACCTTGCTTGACATAAGGTTCTCCCATTTTATTCCTCAATATTTGGTCTAATATGTTGAACTGTTAGCTTTATCAGATCATGGTATTTAGCCTTTGCACATGACCTATGTTGATACAAATGAAGATTGTTGCTGTGTAGCCGATATTCATCCAAAGCAAACAATCAGACCTGTGTAAAAGTAACAATTGCAGAGCTTCACAGGGTATGTAGACATAGTACTATTAAATGGTTGGTAAGCTTTGTGATACTCCTTCCTAATCTTAGGGGTTGGCATCTGTTGTTTCCTTTGACATTTGTTGATTGGGAATCGAGGTTAATAGTTTATCATATGTAAAGAAATATTAATATTTCCCCCTAGATGTCAGTTTTTTTCTCTCCTCTTTGTTACATCTACGAGGGTCATGAGATAGGCAGATCCTTGGCTTCATTCTTGGACTTCACTGTCCCTGCACAAGTGTAGATATATGCACGACCCTAAAGTGATCTAATTTGTTTATAGGTTAGGTTGCAGTTGAGAAAATGATCTGTACATGTGTTGAGATTGGAGTTATTGGCTGAATTATTTGGGATTCAACAAGTCCCAAGGCCTTTTCCCTAAAGGGAATTGATTTCTATTTTACTACTGTTCGTGCAAATGATAAAATAGCGTTATCCATTCGAAATCTTGATTGGTTTCTTCTTCTTCTTGTTGTTGTTCTTCTTCTTCTTTATGTGTGTGCTTGTGTATGTTTTCTTAATATAATTGAAGGTAATTTTTCTTCCACATCAATTCTTACTTTGTTGCTGATCTTTTATTGTGTATTACAGATTTTAGCAAATACATAGTATAATCGTTAAAATATGTAAATGTATTGCAATTAATTTTATACTTGTATAACATTCAATATTGACATCCTGTCATCAATGTAATATTACAATAAATAGTATGTAATTAAGAATTTAAATAAGGAAGTTGGGAGAGACGAGAGTTGAATACAAACTTAATCTTTGCATCAAATTTGCAAAGTGGATCCTTTTCTTGAATCCATGTCTCATGTTTGGCATCCTATGCTTTTACTATTGCAGAGTTTCACAATAAGAAATTGCTGGGGCATAGGGAGTATAGAAAATGTTCATGCTTTTAAAATATTCTTTTTATGTTGATAGGATACAATACCAATACTTTTTGTAACATTGACCTTTGATGGAAACTAAACAAGATAGCAATTGGCATTTTGCTTTTTTGATACCAACAATCAACAATATCAAAATTATGAAAATAATAATGTTGATGTGGACCATTGATGAAGTAAAGATATATAGCTGTTATATGTGTGTAAAATTGTATCATAGGAGCAGTATTACATTCTACAGTTATGGTACTAAATGTTTCTCAATGAACTGATGACAACTCAATTTTAGGATCAGAATATATCGGTAAAAAGTGTACTTTCGCTTGTTGATGTGAAATCCTCTTTTGATGCAGATTTTCTTGCCATTAACCTCTTGGCTTTGAACAACCCTGATGGTTGGTTGCTATTGATTTGATAGGCTTATTGGGCTGTTCAGGATAAAAGCTTGTGATCAATGGGAGAGGACTTGTGACCCAAATGGATCCTCAGGCTTTTATCAGATTGTCGATTGGTTCACTGGGGTTGAGAGTTCCTGGAACAGCATTGGCTGCTGCAAAATCTGGATTACATGCATTAACTTCTCCATGTTCATGTGAAATCCGTCTCCGAGGTTTTCCTGTGCAGACATCATCGGTTCCTGTAGTATCTTCTCCTGAATCTGTACCAGATCATCAGAGCATTGTCTCGAGCTTTTATCTTGAAGAATCTGATTTAAAGGCATTGTTGGCACCTGGATGTTTTTATGCTTCTCATGCTTGTCTGGAGATAGTCGTTTTTGCAGGGCGGAAGGGGTCTCATTGTGGTGTTGGTGTAAAAAGGCAGCAGATTGGAACATTTAAGTTAGAAGTGGGTCCCGAATGGGGGGAAGGGAAGCCAGTGATTCTATTCAATGGGTGGATAGGCATTGGAAAAAGCAAGCAGGAGAGTGGGAAGCCTGGAGCAGAGCTTCATTTGCGAGTTAAACTTGACCCGGATCCGAGATATGTTTTCCAATTTGAAGATGAGACTAAATTGAGTCCTCAGATAGTTCAGCTTCAAGGCACTATTAAGCAGCCTATCTTCAGTTGCAAGTTTAGTCGAGACAGGTGATATGAATTACATAATCTTATTTTTATTCTTCATCTCTTAGAATTTCGTTTCATGCTGCAACCCACTATTAATTTTTTATTACCATTGAAATTGAAATTGAAAACTGAAGTCAGAGAATTTTTAACGTTTCTCATCCACTCTAGTCTTTTCCTGCTTGTGCTAGATTTTGTTCCATGGCTAATTTGCTGGTGCTTTTTTAGTTTTTGGTAACGAATAATGTTTTAGAGCACTAAATTGGGAGCTCTAGAGCATCACTAATGATGTGGTACAGTGGCCCCCACCAAAGTGATGTGATGTTTTGGGTATTCTGGTTGCATAGTTATAGTGCCAATTGATTTCACTCTGGCAGAATACACATAAATGTGGCTCAGAGTAGACCAAAAGATATAACAACCTTTTATCTCTTCTGGGCAATCTAATAGAGCAATGAAAAACCCTTTTCTGTGTCATGTCGAATAATCCATGCAAATGTTCTCCTGTTACTAGGGGATTTTAAGCACATTACACTGCTAATTTCTTAGTCATTGGCTTGTCCATGTAATTTTTGTTTGTTATAATGAATTTTACAGGGTATCCCAGGTAGACCCATTGAACACTTGGTCAAGTTCTGTTGATAGTTCTGACCAAGAGACCGGGAGAAGGGAGAGGAAGGGATGGAAGGTGAAGATACATGACCTCTCTGGCTCAGCCGTTGCTGCAGCTTTCATAACAACTCCCTTCGTTCCATCAACAGGTTGTGATTGGGTTGCCAGGTCCAACCCCGGAGCTTGGTTGATTGTTCGCCCTGATGTTTGCAGGCCCGAGAGCTGGCAGCCATGGGGGAAGCTAGAAGCGTGGCGTGAGCGTGGCATCAGAGACTCAATTTGCTGCCGATTTCACCTTCTCTCTGAAGTCCAGGAGGGGGGTGGGCTTCTTATGTCCGAGATTTTGCTCAACGCCGAAAAGGGTGGCGAGTTTTTCATAGATACTGATAGACAAGTTCGAGCAGTAGCAGCGACAGCAACGCCTGTACCAAGCCCACAAAGCAGTGGAGACTTTGCAGCACTAAGTCCGGTTGTTGGGGGGTTTGTGATGAGCTGTAGAGTGCAAGGGGAAGGGAAGAGCAGCAAGCCATTGGTGCAATTGGCAATGCGGCATGTGACGTGCGTGGAGGACGCTGCCATCTTCATGGCTCTTGCCGCTGCTGTTAATCTAAGCATTGAAGCGTGCAGGCCTTTCCGTAGGAAGATCAGGAGAGTGAACCGCCATTCTTGGTGAGATATTATATATACACAATATTATATAAATCTGGTGGTGATTTAACTCCCATGAACTGAGGAAACCTGTAATTTTTTTCTTCTGATTGGTGTAAAATGTAACATTTGACAGTGTATATGATCTACTTTGTCTACATTTCTCATTGAAAATTAGTTAAAACTCTCAACTCATGGTTGGTCTTGGCTTGATTACATCTTTAGGTTGAACTTAAGCACACTTTGATGCTGATAGGTTACCATCTTACATGCATGGATGTGACAGTTTTTCTTAGCTTGCTTTGATTTTAGGATTTGTTGGCTGAAGAGAGAAACCAAAAGGAGAAGAAAAACACAGGAGACAGAAGCTAAATTCTTTGCTTTTGTTGGTTAGGTCAAGAAAATGAGGAGAGATGAATAGGTATGTTTCAAAAATTTATTTATTTATTTTTGCTTGGAAAGCCTTAAAGAGTTAAGCACAGAAAATCTCATTTCATTATATTCAACAAATCCTAAAGAAAAACATAACATTAATACTTGCAAGTTTTAACAAATTTGTAATACCGAGTGACATGAAGATTGATGTGGCGACGCCATTTTGAATTTTACCTACCATTTCAATAAATTATGAACATGTAAAATTTATGCTTGTTTATGAACATGTAGTTAAATTTATGCTATACATAACTAGCACAAATAATCTTGTGGCATGTCTAATTTTTTAGGCAAAAATTACAATTGGTAATCCATAATAATATTAGTCCCACAACCTTTTATTTATATCCAAAAGTCGTGTGGTGTTTTTTTTCTTCTCAGCCTTCGTTATTCTCTCTCTCTCTCTTTTCAATTTCTGGTGATTGGCAACCGGCGACCACGTCTTGTTTCTTCTATTTCTCTTTTTGATATATAGTCATTGGCGACGAACGACCATTATATATTGTGATTCACTAGCAATTATCGACTATTGACTCTTTGCTTTACTTTTACCGATGACGAAGGAGATGAGTTTTCAGCAATGAAGATGAATAGATCTACTCAGATCTGATGTCAGATTTGAGTATATCTATATCAGATCCGGCTAGATTTAAACAAAAGATAGTTGCTGGAGTACAATCCTCTCTATATCTCTCTCCTTCGATCTTTCAATTTTTTTATTTTTTCTCTACTACACACTTATCTTTTTCTGTTTTAATGGAGAAAATTTTCAAATTTTGAACAAATTGCTTTGCGAGTTTTAGTTACAAGCGTTGAAATTGTTTTGGTGCTCTCTTTAAAATTGCAAAATTTGATAATTGCATATCATTCTTTAGAACTGTAAAATTTTGCAGTTTCATGACATACTTTAGAACTGTGAAATTTTATAGTTTTATAACATGTTTTTCAGTTTGATTAATAATGATAAATTCTTAATAGATTTTTGTTTTGAAACTGTATAATTTCAAAGCTTGTTTTCCAGTTTGATCAATATTGGAGATTATTTGCTTAAATCCTACAAAAATTGAAAAATAACATATGTTTTTCCCTCCCCCCTTTGTTGCTGTTTGTTATCGTCATTTTTTTTTCCTTTCAATTTATTAATAATTAGCATATTTTGTTATTTTTTTTGCTCTAATTTCTGCATTTATTTTTTTTGACAATATTCTGGATATTCTAATGTGTCTCCGACGTTATTCTTAACGTTGGACAAACGTTCTGGACATTCTGACGACTTCAAGTGATGTTCAGAACACTCTAGCAATATTCTGGTGAACTTCTGGCAATACTACGGTGACTTCCTGGTGATGGTGAACATTTTGGTGAATCTATGGTGATCGCCTAACGATGGTGGAATATAACAGTGTCTATAAATTAAAATTAATATATATATATATATATATGTATAGAATTTTTTAGTAACAATTAGAAATATGTAGAACTAATTGGAACAAATATTTTATTTTGCAACAAAATGAGTTGTAAACTTTATGTCTGAGACTTACTGGTAAATTCCCTAATAATTTAAACTTCTTCAAGAGGACCTAACAATTTGGGAAACTAGATCAATTGGGCCCTGGAGAAGGCATCATGGTGGCTCACTATTACTAACCTTGTGTTCTTATTGGGCTTTGATATGCCCGAGATAGTGAAACTACTACTTCTAATCGTGAGTCCGGATCCTCTGTCGCCCTTTCTTGCAAGGCTTCCTGTGGTGCCCCAAAATGACGTTGTTTTGGTGCAAAAATTCAAAAAAAAAAAAAAACAGAACCGAACCGAACCAGAGAGGGAGATGACGAATGAAGGGAGATGAAGAATGGTAGCGGTAGCGGTGGCCCGCACCATCGTGACCCTCATAGCTGGCGACCTCCGGCCTCACTTCACCTACGACACCACCACCCCCCTGCCATTGCCGCCACATTCTTATAATAATTCACTCCCATTCCTATATATATATATATATATCTTTATATCTATACAAATCTACAATACATATATATACAAACCCTAGATCTAGATCGAAATGGTGGCTTGTCGTTGGTGGCGAGAGAGAGAGAGAGAGAGAGAGAGAGAAGGGGGCTTTCGGCTATGGTGATGGTTATCGGTGAGTTGGTAGTTTTAGAGAGAGAAAAGAGGAAGAAGAAAAAGAAGAAGAGGAAGGGAATGTGGGTTGCGACGGCGATGGTAGGGAGGTGGTGGTGCTGTAGGTGAAATGAGGCCGAAGGTCGTCAACTAGTGTGGGCCGCTGCTACCTTCTTTCTTCTTCTTCCTCTCTGGTTCAGTTTAGTTCTTTTTTTTTTTTTTTGAAATTTTGCACCAAAATGACGTCGCTTTGGGGCACCGCAGGGAGCCTCGCAAGAAATGGCGGCAGAGGATCCGAACTCTTCTCGTCGTTGAGTTCTATGTGGATATATATATACTGATTTTCTTTCGGTTGTGAGTCAGTCTTCAATATTGTTATTGTTGCCTTTGTACTCTTGCACTTTACACTAAATCTTACTTTGACCTCTATCTATGAAATCATGATAGTTAACTCTTTGTGCTTCTAGTCAAATCTTACTTTGGTCCCTACACATGAAATCGTGACAGTCAATCTCCTATATTTTTATTCAAATCCCACTTTGGTCCCTATACAAGTGCAAATGTCCCTCTTCTGTTATTTCGTTTTAAAATCTTTAATAAAATCCATTCATGTGACAAAAACGTGACTACGAAATGAGGGTAAGAGAAGAAAATCATTCATGTTTTCCACCAATATACTTTGTCCTATGTGATAGTACGTGAGAGTTATATAATACAATATATATATATATATATATATATGGTAAATTGGGTTATATATATGGTAAAAATTGGGACGAAAATGTAAGAAAGTAGAACTTTTGAAATAAAAAAAATGTGACAAAGAAATCAAAGAGAAAGAAAGATGAATAGATTGAAGACTGTGTTACTGTGAAGATTCCAATTTATGCAAAACCCTAATTCATCTTCCTGCGTTTTGTTTTAGCTTAATAGAGTCATATTTTGATATAAATTTTGGAATGAAGTGCGTATTGGTAGAAAATATAGATGATTTTCATTTTTTACCCATATGTTGTACGTAGTTACATTCTTGTCACATGACTAAATTCTGTTAAAGATTTAAACAATTGAGTAACAGAAAGGAGTCATTAACACTTATATAGAGATCAAAGTGAGATTTGACCAAATATATGGATAGTTGATTGTCACAATTTCATGTGCATGAACCAAACTGAAATTTGACGAGAAGTGCATAGGGTTGACTGTTATGATTTCATGTGTATGGTTAAAGTGCGATTTGATGTAAAGTGCAGGAGTGTAAAGTGTAATTTACCCCCTCATTTTTATTATAGATTTATCCAGGGCCGGCCCTAAGATTTAAATGAGACCCTTTCACACACACACACACACACACACACACATATATGTTATGGTTAGTAGGTACAAAAGTTTCCGTACACTTATATAATCATTAAAATTTACTTTCATATATTAAGATAGGAAGAAATCATTATAAAAACTTAACCAAAAAAAAAAAATGGCCTTGTTTTATTATGTCATAATACTCAACACAAATAACATTATAGATTAATATATGATATTGAAATGATTATATTGTTGTAATCTAATATCTGATAACATAGTCATAATCTGCCCAAATCACAATTCATTAACTATTTGATAGCAAAACATAAATTATTGAAACAAAATTAGGAAAAAAATTAAAGAAAAATTATTCAATTAAATTATGATAAAGCAAGTAAAAAAAATTTAAGATAAAGATATTTATTTTATTCAAATTTGACATATATATGTGTATATATATATATATATATAGAGAGAGAGAGAGAGAGAGAGAGAGAGAGAGTTTTTATTTTTATTTTGGTAAGGTGGTAGATTCTATCTTGAGGGGATAAGCTATTCTCCATGCCTTATCTTTCTATACTTTTCCGTACTCCTTTTGTGGGTTTCAATTCGGGCTTGCACTAATAATCCAAATCGTTTACCTTATAAGCCCCATAACGAAGGTCATATATACAAAAAATTAGTCCCGTAATGAGATTCTATATGGACTCATTATATACGATATATATATATATTTCAATTTATTTGGATTGAATATATAAACTTTTAATTAAGCCTAATAATAATTATATATTAATTGGGCTGAAGAGATTTTTGTTGGGACCTCTTAAACTAGGTCTCAAGCAATAAAAAAAGATTGAACCTATTTGAGATTTTTATATAATATAGAATTAACAAATTTGAAAGTCATATTTTGGGAGCAAAGGCACTGCCGACCTTACTGGCCTTAACTCAGGGCCGATTCTAGATTTGTTTTTTTTTATTCTTTTAGTTATAATTGAACCGTTTGACATATCTCGCATCATATACGTATATTTATACAGATTATGCATAGCTTGTTAATTTGCTCACTCCTTACATTATAAGTAGGGATGTAAAGTTGGCCCGATCTGGCCCAATTCGTCTGGGTCTGGGCTCGGGCTAGCCCATCGTCGGGCCTTGTGAACTCCAGCCATAATTCGGGCTAGCCCAGTCCACAGACTAGAAAATTAAGCCCAGGCCAACTCAAATTAGGGCCACAGGCCGGGCTTGGCGAGCCTTTTTTTTTGAAAAAATTAATTGATATATATTATATATATAGATTATTTATGAGGGATTAAAAAACAAAACAAATT